GAAAGGATGTACATGCTTATTTGAGAGCATGTACGGTTTGTCAACAATGCAAGTATGATAATGCAGCATCTCCGAGACTTTTGAACCCGTTGCCAATCCCTGAAGGAGTTTGGATGGATATATCACTAGATTTCATTGACGGTTGCCTCTCTCTTTTGGCAAATCAGTTATCCTAGTGGTGGTTGATCGATTCATTAAAGATGCTCACTTTGTTGCATTAGGACACCCGTATACAGCTGCATCTGAGGCACAAGTGTTTCTGGATCAATTTTTCGGTTAAATGGATTTTCAAGGACCATTGTGAGTGCCAAAGATACTTTTTGTATCAGTACAGTTTGGCAAGAGTTGTCCAAACTACAAGGTTGTGCTCTGAATCTGTCTACAGCTTATCATCCCCCAAGCAATGGTCAAACGGAGGTTGTGAATCGATGTCTAGAAACATATCTCAGGTGTATGACGAGTGATAAACCAAAATTATGGAGTAAGTGGTTACCTATTGTGGAGTTCTAGTACAACACAAATTACCACTCATCGATTCATATTACACCTTATGAAGTGGTATATGGTCATCCACCTCCGGTTCATCTACCTTACTTACCTGATGAACTAAGGTTCAGATGGTGGTCAAGTGTTTACAATATAGGGAAGACATGTTACTGATCTTGAAGTTTCACTTACTGAGAGCACAACACCGCATGAAGAAAATTGCAGATAAAAGGAGAAGTGAGGTCATTTGAAAAGGGAGATTGGGTTTTTGTGAAGCTACATTCATATCGACAGCAGTCTGTAGTCAACAGATCTCCACACGAGATATCGCCTAAGTATTACGGTCCTTACAAAGTCATTGATAAGATGGGGACAATTACTTACAAGCTTCAACTACCTTCGACATCACGAATTCACTATGTGTTTCATGTGTTGACTACGAATCAGTTACCTTTTATAGTTGATGATGTCATAATAAAAGAACCGGAACTATGTTTGGAGAGAAAGATGGTTCAGAGACAAGGCCAAGCTGCAACAATGGTCAATGGTCTTGATTCAATGGATAAATAAAACGGCAACATGGGAGTATCTGTTTGATACCAAGAACAATTTTCCTCAGTTTCAAATCTAACCTCGTGGACAAGTTTTAAGAAGGAGGGAAGATTTGTTACATGGAAACAGAGTGAAACGTGGCAGTAAGAGAGTGACTAATGGGAGTTTTTTTGAGAATTTTATTACACCGTTAGGCGGTTAAGAGCAAGACAAATAAGAAGAAGACACGTGGCACTGACGGAGAAGTGTCCATTGTATAAAACAAAGTGTCTTTTCTTTTGTATATATTCATTCAGAAGAAATATTAGGAACTTCTTTCTCTTAATTCTGGAATTTAATACTATAATCTTGAGTTCATTCTTGTGACAAGAGTCTTCTAAATCAATGTTTCTTCTGCAGTTTGAGCTACGTGCTGATTTTTTAGGAACGTTGAGTCAATTCTTAACGAGAACTACGTTTATCGTTAACACCACTATATTCTAAAACTTATTAAAACTTTAGTACAAAATAAAACTAAACCGCAAAAACATTGAGTTTAACCCTAATTAGAATGCAAAGACTAAAAGTGTTTTGCAGTTTCCTTGGCCCAGCTTCGAGTTTACCTCCTTAGAAAGGATTCAGAATTGGTCCATACAAACTCCATTGAGAACAAATAATAATAATAATAATAATAATAATAATAATAATAATAATAATAATAATAATAATAATAATAATAATAATAATAATAATAATAATAATAATAATAATTAACCAATGCTTTTATTCAAAGCAGAGCACCAAAAACCCTAGTTTTTTTCCAAACGTTATTTTCGAGAAACTGATACATCTAACTATTTCCCAACGATGGTGGCACTGTAGCCAGCGAATCTCACTGGCATCCCTGTCGCTCGCCAGTGTCACGCTTCCTCAAGCTGCTCATGACGTCTGTGTACTCGCTTCATCTCATTCTCGCCAACTGTTAGATTTCATCTCTCTCTGGTTTAAGTTCTGGTTCTAGTTCTGGTTTTGGCTCCTCCTCCGTGTGAGGTGGGTCCGTCCAAGACCACCGGATTGGTTTTCTGTTCAAAGGATTCCAAGCCTCTTGTTCTTGTTAGGGAGTTCATGTAACGACCCACTCCCGAGCACCTCTTTTTTATAAAAGAATAAGTTTTTGAACAGGATTGACTGTAGCAAAACAATATCTTTTAATTTTTGGAACATTTGTTTCTTTGATGAAATGAATATGAAGTTGATTTGTCTCTAAGAATTGAATGTCACGATCGTAGTCTATGCAAGAGACTGATGGAGCGCGAAGCCAATTAAGGAAAGTTTGGTCATTGGATAATGCAAGTTCCAAGTAAGAAATTTTTTTATTAATTATTATTAATTAACGAGATAATAAAAAAAGGAAGGTCGGGTCTGCGGAGTCATAAAAAGAAGATAATCACAGAGATTAATTCAAGTCATTGATGGCATTTGACCAAGCTAAATAAGGATACATCAATAAATAATTTTCTCTATGAGAAAGTCCAGTAAACAAGACCTTCAAATCTTATCCCTATCAACAACCAAAAAAAACAAGTCAAGAAAGAAAATAAAGCAGAAACGAGTCTTTAGAGAGAGGAGCTAGATAAGGAGGATCAATAAAAGGAGTTCTCACCGAAATACACTAGGAAGTTCAGAGTCTTCAAATCTTTGAGATTCAGCTAAGGTGAGAATGTGATTCGTGGCAACCTTTTAGCATAGATTTTTAGTAATTTAGATCTGGATTCGTTAGGGTGTATGAATGAGTAATGTTTTTATTGAAAGTTCGTTATTTGTTCCTCGAGGTAATCTTCAGGGTTCAGAAAATGTTCTTCGTATTCATAGGTTATGGCATGTTAGATTGTGTGTATTGATGACATAGATGGAAATGCTTATGCGAAAATGTAGAATTTTATCATAAATGAATTGGCACGTTGAATAGAATGAGGCTATATAAAGAAAGTATGGGACTGAATATATGGAATTAAATAAGGAAAATACGTTTGGGATTCGGGCCATAAAATTTTATCATGTTTGTATTTTTTTCACTGAGCCGTATGTTGGCTACAGCCGCAATGGACCTACAGAGTTGTGTGACTTTGAGCCATACAAAGGACCAGCGGGTTGAGTGGCTTTGGGCCATGCATAATAGCTACAGGCCGGGAATTGGCTTTAGCCATGTAATTGTTTAGCTTCAACAATAAGTGGCCTTCAGAGTCAAGGATGAGAAGAAATGGTAAATGTGTAGAAATGACTAAGTAAAGATAAATGATTAGCTGAGCGGTTAAGAATAAGATGGAACGAAATGTTAGGTTGCTAGAATGGAATTCTTTTGTTAATGGTAGATATGTTAAGGTTGTATGTAGATGATTTTGAGCATCCTCACTAAATAGTATTCTATGCTCATGCCTCCTATTGTGATGCAGCTGAAGAGTGATTGTTTGGACCAGAACGCGAGACTATGAAAACCATTGAAACTGGGTATTCATAAACTTAGGGATTTTATGGGAGTTTTTATGAAATTTATTCTTATTATCTATGTTATTTAACTTGATGTTATTAATAAAGTTGTAGCATTTTATTATGTTACATGATGAAAGTTTGGTTGAATTTTACTTCAAAATTTTCAAGACTTTTCAAAGATTTCCATCTCGCCTCTCACCACCCATAACCACCATGCAAAGAAAATGCCCGCCTCACCGACCATATCGGTGAGTATCTTCTTTCATTAGGATCTGGAACATCTTGTCCCTTTAGATATGTACTTCACCAGCTAGATCTACCTCCGCTACCGCCACCGTCTACACCATCGAGTTTCATCATGTTTTACTCCTATCTTTAATCGATGAGAGTCATCCAGTGACAAGCTCATCCGCCATGCATGATCTCGCCAGCAGTAGATCAGAGGTCCGAGCCGATGACTCTCCCTTCACCAGAGTATCCGACCATTCGGCTGTCCTTGCTATACCTCCACTGTACAGCTGTCTTATTGGCTATGTCATTCCTATACTTCACACGGGTCGGGCCACCACATGGTTATTATGGGCCTCGTGAGCCCAATTGCCTTTATTTATCCAGATGTTTGGTCCAATAACTTAACAGCCCAAGTTTTAGCGGGGGATTTTAGTCTCTTTGACTAATTTCAAAATTACCGGTGGGTTCACCGTGATCTTTACCGGAGCCGATTTGCACAAAATTATTCATTTATGTTGTGTGAAGTGTATAATATTCCCTCATTTACTGGTGGATTCATCGACACCAATCTCATCATCTTCATCACCTCTAGCATCCTTCTCATTTGGAGAAACGAACCGTTTTATTCCTTGGCTTCCTTTTAGGAACATTTCATTTCCAGACATTAAATGGAAGTGTTTACATATATTTATAACCGTTTTGATATCTTGTGTGGCGGTCCATTCAGGGCCTTAAGATACAACAGATTTCGTTTAGATGATATTTCAATGTGCAGATTGGGTACTAACGTCACATTTCAAAGTGATAAATATGTGAACCTTTTTTCAATGCATTCGAGTTTTACTCTGAATCCGCTGCCTCTCTATCTTAGAGTTCTAAATATCTTTTATGTTATAATGTTTTATGTTTGTGTAGTCTTAAACAACTCCCTCTCCTATTGTAATCCGATTGTTTGAGCTTTCTTAATGAAAAGAAAGTAGTGTTCCAAAAAAAAAAAGAGATGGCCAACTAATTATGAATGGTAAACCCAAAACTCTAGTCTCTAAAAACATATAATAAGCTCTATAACCCAAAAAGATTAAAATTTAAACAGAAAATAGTTTAGTCTCGTGATCTTGAACTTTCTCTTGAGAGTAAACCACCAATCATAAAACTAAACTCTTGATCATATGGCTAGTTCTTATAATTGTCTTTTCTTAAAGATATAAATTTGTAGTTTTCCTTTGATATATATATCTATATATATATATATGTGAACTCACCCATGGGGACCAAGCGAGACTAAGACAAGCCGCCTGCATGAGAAGCACAGCAAAATTAGTAGCTCTATGTAAAATATATATCATCGATAAATTGAAGCAAAACAAAGTAACATTTTCCAAAGTGTTTACGCTGAAGGATTCCATAAGAAGCCCTGTTGATAAAACCCTACGTTCGCCGATGGCAGAAACCAAAATCGGAAATATAAACAGCTGATAAAATAAATTTAGCAGCACGTATTAATGAATAATATAATTCAGCTATAAAACAATAAATATGTAACGAAAGAAAAAATTATTTTAACGAAGCAATTACATCTTTTGTTTTACCTGGGAGATGGAGCCAATAATGCTAGACAACAGCATGAGCTCAGCAAAGTCATTTTTGTTGAACCCAAAACGGGCTTTCAGAAAATACTGTATTAATAAAAATAGTTGATACATTCTAGTATCAGTTGATATTTTTAAGAAACGATTCAGAGAAAAAATTGTTAAAACAATAATGTAAAATTGGGAGAAGAGGAAAACCATGAATGCAGAGTTCATTCCCCTCAGTGAGAAGGTAGCAAAGAATGTAACAACCAATGCTTGAACCAGTATGGTGCTGTGTTATAAAAACCCAGATGGATCATTAAGATTATATATAATTATATGAAGTATATAGATAATATGTAGACACCACCATGTATATATTATGTAGCAATGTACCTATTATTAATCAAACTGACCATGTCTTCCACAGACGTGAAGATATGTGTCTTAATTTGTGCGTCTCTTAGAATCGGCTCTTCTAACATCCTTAGATCATTACCATCATTAATCTCTTGATCACTTCTATCATCATCATCATAAGAGTCGCTGTCATCATTGTCGTGTAGCCTCTCTTTTAAGAAAACTAGCATATGCACCACGGCAACGAAGGATGATATAGCTGAAACCTAATCAATTATAATTTTCTTAAATATATACTCTCCAGTGAATTAACAACTGATATTTATGGTGCCTGCTATATATTTGACAAGCAAAATATCAGGAAATGAGTCAATATGATTGGATCATCGTTTGAGGTTCTCTTTGTTTGTTTCCTTTGTTACTATCAGCAGTGACGGATCCACATTATTAGTCATGATGTCACTGGACACCACAAAAACCTTGATATAAAGTAAATTGTAGCTTAAAACATATGAAAATCACAAACATGGTTGGTAAATTTAGATTGTTGAACCCTCAAAACCAGGGTTCAATACGCACTATGACCCTTTTCACCAATTTTTGAACCCACTTAAATTTTTTCCTGGGTCTGCTGTTGATTATCAGTAAATATATCTTGTCTATACGATACCTGAAAAATTGATGCTACGGGAAGAACACGAGCTGCTAATGTTGCACAAATTCCAGAAATTGATTTGACACCTGCTAAGACTCCAAACATTGATATTCTTTTCCTGGTATGAGCATTTTTAGCCTGAAGATATGATTAAACGATATCGATAAAGGTCTATAACAAAATATTATATTAAGACCAAAACATATCACATAATAAGAAATAGAATCTTACCACATAAGCTTGAGAAAGACAATCAACGGCGCCTTGGCAGATGATATCAAAGAGAGTCTTGATTATATAAAATGCATAGAAAAAATTTGTAGTTCTTCTATACCCTAATATGGCTGCAAAAAAATTACTACATTTTAGGAATAGCTAGGTGTCATCAATTAAAGAAAATCAAAAGCGGAAAAGAAGATAAAATTAAAGACAAGTTGCTAGATAAAAGTATAAAATAGTTGCTATAGTCTTTTCGGAAAAAGAAACTTACTGTAGTAGTTTCAAATAGAAACTTGTAATTGGTTAAGGAATAAATGTGATAAACTTTTTTGTAGAAATTTGTGTACTGTATTATGATAAATTTTAACATGTTTAAGAAATCTGTCTTATGTTACTCAAATAGAAACATGAGCAATAATATGAAACACAACCATCTCTCCTCCAGCCTTTCTCCCTAAATTTGATTTAATGCTTCATGTTGCTCCAGAGTCTGGCGGCGCATGTGCTGGTGCTGGAGGTTTCCTCTCTTCGCCTCCTCCTTTTCAACTTTGCTACTACTTGATCTCCAACCTCCCTCTTGACATGCTCCTGTTTTTGGTTCTCGGGTTTCCCTCCGGTATCCACTCTAGTGTTGATTCTGCTACCTCGGGCACCATGGCGATGTCGTGGATTTGGTGGTGGTAGACTTAAAGGGTTTAGAGAGGGGATTATTTTTCAACTTCTAGATCTCCTCTAGGTTCTTCCTGGTTGAAGGGGGTGAAGGTTTAGTTTATGGTTTTGGCTCAGCAGCAGTTCGATGTTGTCTCGAGATGGTGGTTCATTCGATCGTGGCGATTGGTTCTTCTTTGATCCTCCTTGGTGTTGACGATGCTCTGTTCCTTTGCTTCGTAATCAAGAGAGCTCTAGTCGTATCATCCTCAGAGGAAAGTCCTGAGGTGCGGTATGCAAGAGGAGTTGGTACTTGTCTTTGGTACGGCCCGTGTGGGTGCAGTGAGTTGCTGTATCTGGTGGTGATCTATGGCCTCTTTCGGTGGTTTCTTGCTGGGATACATCTCTTTGGATCTTCCTCTTCACGGCTCTCTATCGAGTTCCTCTGAGAGGAAGCAACAGAAAGCGAAGTTTTCTGCGCTTAAGATTTTTGGTCTCTCAGTTTTACCGTCTCTCTTAACACCAGCATTGTATCTTCAGAAGACAGTACACGATCCTTTGGTTCTCAATGGTCAAAAATGGCGGGATAGCTCTTGGGAGTCACTGGTCATCTTGGTGTCTTCATTTGATCCTAATTAATTCGCTTACTGGTGCAGTAATAACTCGGCTGAGATCTTAGGTGGCCTAGCTCAATTTATTGTGCAGGTGTGAAGACGTGCTTGGTAGCGTGTAGCGGAGAATTCAACCTGGTTCCTTGCCAAGTTCATGGTGGCTTAGTCGGATGTATAGCTTGGGTTGTAAGTGTTGCAATCCTTCTGTCTCTTCCCGCTTACACTTCAGTGTCGGATTAGATTATAAGTTTGATGAGTTCATCGAGGGGCAGCTACTTCAAGACGGTATGGGTAGTCTCGGAATCCAAAGTAACTAGGTGAATCTCACCTTCTTTCGGTTCACGTTAATGATGAGAACATCAATCGTTACTTAAAGAATTAGTTCCAAACTATCGGAGCATACCAGGATTGATGGGTTGAATAAAGCTAATTAGGAGTCTTAACTTGAGTAATTTTGTTCAAATCAATTGTAATAAAAACCGATATCCCCAATTCAGATTATTTTATAAATCTATACTATTATTTAAGAAGTAAATTTGCTTCGTTGTCATGTTCTCAATAAGTTTAGGTAATTTTGTTTATTTATCTTATTTTTAATCTATACTATTATTTATTTGTAAATAAAACAAATCATATGAATATATCATGTTTTAGTAAATAAGATATTCCTGTGAATTATTTTGTTATCTTGAAATATATTTTAATTTATAAAACTTCAATTTTAAATTAAGATATAAAAACTATTATATTTAACCAAAACAAATTTATATTACTAATTTAATATTTAAATATAATTAAAACTAATTTATATTAATAATTTATTTTTTCTAAAATAAGATAATCATTATGGATTATGCTGTTAGGTTGAAAATATATTTTCATATTATAAAACTTAATATTAAGATATAAAAATTATATTATTAATAATTAAATATAAATCATCAAAAAAAATTATTTGAAAAGTGAATTTTGTTGATTTGTCTCCATGATCCTAGGTAATTTCGATCATTTATGAAAATTTCTATAGTTTTGTTTATTATTGATTATATATTTAAAACTAATTTATATTAATAATATGATACTTTAGAAATTAAGTTAATTCTTATGTATTATGCTGTTATCTTGAAAAAATATTTTTGGTATTATAAAATTTAAAATTAACATGTAAAAAATCAATAATATTCTTTAAGAAGGGAATTTGATGTTTGCTGATTTGTCATATTTTCCATGATTTTAGGTAATTTTGATAATTTATTATATATTTTATTGAAAAAAATATATTAGTAGTATCAGATTTTTTTAGAAAATAAATTCCGCATATGTATTAAGTTGCTCTTTTGAAAAGATATTTTTCTATTAGAAATTTAAAATTAAGATATAAAAAGTTGTAGTTATTCTATAATTGAAATAAATTTACACTAATAATATTATACTTTTAGAGAATATGGTAATTCTTATGTATTAAGTTGTTATCCTGAAAATATATTTTTATATTATACAATTTAAAAGTAAAATAGAAAATTATCTATTATTAATTAAATATAAATCATCACTCAAGAAAAAATATTTAAGAAGTGAATTTGCTGATTCATTAAGTTCTCAATGATTTTAGGTAATTTTAACTATATGTCATCATTTCTATAATCTTATATAATTATTATATAGTTAAAAAAATTACATATTATATTTTCAGAAAATAAATAACTTATGCATTATATTGTTATCTTGAAAATATGTTTTTCTAATATAGAATTTAAAATTAAGATATAAGTATTATAATTAAATATACATCAAGAAAAATAGTTATAGAAATATATTCTTTTAAATATTTCTGATGTTTGAGTTTTGTCATTGATAATTATTTGATGTTTGATTTTTACTTTTTGAAAAAGCAAGCACATACACAAGCGATATCACTTTACAAGGGAATGTGTTGACAACGATCAAGTGGAAGTAGAGCATGTCGCAGGTGATTTACAATAGGCTAACATTTTGACAAAAGCTACGAGAAGGATTAAGTTCAAAGAGATGAGAGAGCTAGTTGAAGTTCAAGATGTATAAAATGTTATCATGAGAGAGCTAGTTGAACTTTAACAAAGTTCAACTATCTCATAACAAACAATGTTTCTTATATCATTGATTCATTGGCTTTACATAACAAACATTTAGTCAAATGTTATCATGAATTTGACTAAATGAGCGGTGTGTTTTAAATATGATAATTTTGAAAACTAATCTCGAACATAAGAGAAAATTATGAAGTAGAGGTTCTGAATTATCAGAAAAAAAAAGAGAAAGAACCTGGAGGAAGAATGGAGAGACACATGGGAAGAGTGAGCAATGTCTTGATTCCGTATCGGTCCGCTAGATTTCCGATCACAGGCATCATTACCATAGTCCCTAGTCCTACGGTCTTTTCACCATTTGCACCATCGTTAGAAGAAAAAATTCGAAAACGATCTTGCATCATTATTTAAATCAATGTTTAAAGAAAAAGAATAAGAGTATTTTTTTAGCTAGTTGTTCTTGATGTAAGTTTTCAAATAGATGTAAATGTAAGTATATAAGAATATGCCTTTTAATATATAAGATAAATTTTTGTTCTGTATCAAAATAAACAACCATCTTTTCATTGGCTGAAACACATTTTTGTTCTGTATCAAAATAAACAACCATCTTTTCTTTGGCTGAAACATATTTTTGTCTATTTACCGATGAAATTATTATTTGACAAAATATAAATATCATATTGCTGTATATTTGATTTTGAGTCATAATTATGTCGCGGGACTAATTCACCATAAATTATTTAATTAACATAGACTAGGTATGAGAACCATGAGCCAAATATAAAAAAATTGAAGGCAATAAACTAAATTTCAAAATCGTTTTGCTAGTAAAGAAAAAGAAGAAAAGACGACTAAATTCGTTTATCTGTATTGAAGACATCACAGATATTTGAACCATTTGCTAATGATCAAAAGATTAAACTTTAAAAACAAAGATATGCATATATGTATCTAAGTATTTACATAGCTCTAGGTATTTACCACTTGTTTTACTCCGGTGAGGTAGACGGCGAAAGAACATGAGTGGTTTGGATCGGAGCAAACCGCAGCGACAGTGACGTCAATTATTACTGGATTCAACAACAATTCGGCGAATGATGACAGGAAAGCTATCGTCAGCATGTGCTTCAGCCCTCCAAGCATTTCATACATAGCTCCCTTCTTTCTTGTTCTTCTTTTTTTTTTTTTTTTTTTTTTCCCCGTAACACTTCTTCTATCTTCTCTCTTCTTTCCTCACTTTTAATTCGTGAGTCTCTTGGACGTGCCACTCGTACAATTATTTTTTAAATTATATATGCAACCATGGGTCACTTTCTTTTCTAAATGCAATTTATGACAAAAAAAAATGCAATCTTTTTTATTATCAACTTGAACATACTCATATCATATAGACTCTTCAAATCAAACTAATAGTTACGTATCCATATGAATGACAAACGATGATTGTATCCTTACATTACATATGAGATTGTGCATCCGTAAACTTCGTGTCGTGGTATATAAATGATTTATGAGTTGTGGAAACTTCTCTTCGGGATCTTGACCAACTGAGAACAATCTGTTACAAATGTAACATTATACTATTTTAAATTCCTCATATACTCCATATTCCAATTAAGAACCTTTACTTCCGAATAAGTGGCGATTAACTATCTCTTGTATTACACACCTCCATTAAGCAATCAAAACCTGCCAATGTACTACATCATCCTTGTCTCAAATCATTTTTTCGCATTTTTTTATGATCTATCCGCAAAACACCATCTACCTTGTAAGGTTGGTAATGTCGCCTCCACTATCGATCTGGTTGGATCAATTCTCTTTGTAAGAGAAGCATGTACCTCAACCCAAAGCAATGACTTTCATTTCTGTCAATTTGAGAGTATCTTTAGGGACAACATTCAAATTGCTAAAAAAAATTACTGTTTCTACCTTTACATATGTACCATGAAATTCATGCAAATTGATGATCTTTAAACTCTCAAAATAAATGATCCATGTTTACGAAGAGTGACCGAGTGAATAAAATAACTGGCTTCGATGAGATTTGTGAGAGCGTCCAAACCTGAATCGTAGGTGAACATTCAAAAACACATAAGTTATGGATTCCTCAGATTGTCCACATCGGGCACAAATTGTATCATTTGCCATAAAATGTTTCATTTTAGTTGGGCAACATACTTTCCAACAAAAGTTTTTAGGAAAGAGATCGAAGAACTATACTCCAGCAGTGTTCTTTATATGTCCGGAATATTCGTTCCACTTGATATCCAGAATTAACCATGTATCTTTCATTATTAATAAAATGTCATCCATCATAATCGACTATCTGACTTCAACTTAACGGTATACTTTCAATAATTTTCGCATCCTAAGGATTCCCTCAAAACTGAAGTGATGAGAGAATCCATTTGTAAAGTCAGGGTAAAGGTTGTGTTGATTCATGTTTACTGATCTCGGGTGAGTGGATGGGAACCAAGAATCATTCCATACTCAAATAGATGATTATGATCCCACCCTTTTGATTAGTCTTTTGTTAACCAAGAGATTTAATAGAGACAATACTGTACCAACCATATGACAATGAGTAAGCTCTAATCAGTTCTAGGGATGATGTATTCCTAAAATACCGTCTTCTGAAAACTCGGGAAAATAAAGTGATTCGGTTTCTCTTTCAATCTCTAAAATTTCTTTCCAAGCATAGCTATATTAAATTCCGTGAATTCTGTAAACCCTAAGCCTCCACCTTACACTGAAGAATATAGTTTATTCCATAATTTATGTGCATAGATTTAGTATTACTCCTTGAGATTCACCAAAAGTGTGTCATTGTTCTTGTTAGCTTCTTTAGTTGATGTCTTGCATTATTGCATTGTTTATTCTACTCTTTTGCATACCTTTTCATCATGTAGGTTAGGTTCTAGCCATGTTTAGGTTGCATTTTGCATACATGAGTCCCTTTTAGGTATTGGAGCATCACATGGAGCTTTTGGAAGCATTTGGGATTCATCAGGGGGCTCAAGGGAGGCAAAAGGAGTGACCTAAGTC